ATTACACAGAACATCCTACTATTGCCAAAGAAAAAAACTTGCATCTATGAAATTTAAACTTCATTTAAAATTATCCTATTTTGTGCGAAGCTATCTTATCTCGCACACTTTTTCTTATCATTCTCTTCATCTCACTCTCTCCAATCAAAACTTAAAACCTAAAGAGCCTATTATATTATAAGTATCATATATATTATTTATTGCTGTATTGACGCAAGCGATATTTCAAATTTTCTGTAAATTTAAAATAGCAGGCAGAAGCATTCTAAACATGTCTTCATAATTTTCTTTTCTAAATCATAAAATTTTCCTTTACATAATTTTTTCATATAATAAACAAATTTTGATATAAAAATACCTGAAAGTACAGTCATAAGAGCTAACGCACAAATTGCACCTACAAAAACAATCATTCGTGGATGTTTCATTGCCATAATTGCGGCAATAAAAAAAGTTTTGTCACCTAGTTCAGAAACGACTATGACTGACAAAGAAGCTATAAATGCATGTAAAAAACCGAGGCTATCCTTTGTTTGCGAGACCATCACATCATCGGGTTTCTAAAATTGATTATAAACGATATTACTACAAAACAAAGGAAATATAATATAAAAACATGAGATACATCACTTACACTCGATGTTAATAATACTTGATGTTTTTCATAGTAATGTTCGTTATCACCTGATACAATACTTAAAAGAAAAGTGCTCATTGCACAAATACTGAGAAAGTATTTGTTTGATGGTAAAAATCGATTGAAATCCATTGTAATTTTGATTAAATTTAATTTTTATACATTATACATTACTCTTAACCTCTCATCACAGATAACATGACAACAGATCACTCCTATTCTGTACAGGAGGGCTTGACTCTTACAGTAAATTTTAGGGGACTGTTTTGACTGCCATCTGAACTAACTGCAAATTTGGACAAACTAAAATTCAATATGGCGGTATAGAAGCGATATATAATTCAAATTCTGGATTCTAGAGCCAGAATGTATCAAGTTTATTTTTTTTCGAAAATGGTTATGTACATTATCATATAAATAATGAAAAAGCAACCTAATTTCGAAAAAATGTACTTAATACAGTATAACACAGGGGAAAGGAAAACAATCATCAAAGTTAAAAACTAATATGGGAAACAAATTTTTTTTATTTTCCATTTTATAGTAGTATACAGCAAAAATTCCATTTCTAACATATAGTATAAGTATATGTATACGTATACGTATTTATTAAATTGATTTATTCGCTCGGATGTCTGCTGCTCCTGGCTGCGATGCCTTCGCTGTTACGTTGTCGATGTTAGGATGGATCAATCTAAAAGAATCTATCTAAAATAAAAATATATACATATACTTTAAATACTATAATAAAGATATATGAGACTATATGGGAAATAAAAATAAGTGTGACTTATTGCTTATGTCCAGTATATCTCGACCGCGTTACATAACCAGCTCAAGACTACTCGAGACTGGCGGGAATGGCGTTGCGTCGGCACATGATCTACTACTACAGTTCATCAAATGCGCATGCGGGTGGGTAGCCATATTGAATTTTAGTTCGTCCAAGTTTGCAGCTAGCTCAGATGGCAATCAGAATCGTGCCCCAAAAATTTACTAAGAGTCAAGCTCCCCTGGTAGCTTGGTAGCAGCCAGCAGAGGCCGTCAACTCCCACACTCAGTGGGAGCACTTTTTTAACTGCCATCTGAACTAGCTGCAGACTTGGATAAACTAAAATTCAATATGGCTGGCCTCACTCTCATTCCAGTAAATGCCTAGTCTATGTTTGTGCATTCAAAATATTTTGAGATAACCTCTCGAGATAATGTTTAATGTAAAAATTAAATTCTTATCATAAAATTGTAGTCGAATAATGGATCATGAAGAAGAGTTTCTTAACACATTCTTTACATATGTTGCTCAATTGTGTATTGATAAAGCAAAAGAATTAGTTGTAAGTAAACTCTTAAAAATTGTTTTTAAATAACTTTGAAATAATTTAATATCTGAGATATTTAAATATTTATTAATAAATAATTTATTTACGCAAAGAATAACGAACTAATTTTATTGTGTAATGTTTATGAATAATATTTCATAAACATTACAGTCATAAAAATATATATATTTTTAGGAAAAAGAACGTGGATCATTTCGTCAAACACAGTTAGGTCCATGGGGAATGTTACTTATGCATTTACCACAAATAGCAGTAGCAGAACATTCGTATGCAGACTTGGGTTTTCTTCACACTAAAAATAGATTTTTAAGAAAAGATGTATGTAGAATGTATTGATATTATACTCAAAATACTTATTTGTTGTACTATCACATTTATATAACATTTATTTTTAATTCATACAGAACTCATTGAGGACAGCATATGAATCCTCCAAATTAGAACTAAAAAGGATAGAAGAAATGACCAGAGGAACTACTTCTATTGGTACAACAGTTGCAGAAGTCTCTAATCAACTATGTCAATACATTACAGCTAAAATACAATTGATAGATTTGTTAGTATATATATAATTCTTTAATTTGTTGTTCAAGATTTTTGTTTATTGTCTTTCCATTTCAGCTATGAGAAAATGTACCATATGAGTATACACAGTAAAGTCATGAAATATCAGGAATTATTACAGTGCATAGAAGGAATTGTAGAAGCTCATTTGATGTCCTGTTCACATTTAGCCTTAACTGCTGTTAAGGCAAGCTTAACGTAAATAGTTTTCCTTCTTCATTTATTGTAACACATTTCTTACATATTTTTCATACGATGATATGACTGGTAGTGTGAAAATTACTAGTATGTTGTTACTAGTATGTGACTAATTTTCAGAATATTTCATGTATGTTTAAACATTTATTTTGATTAGTTTAGAATGTGAAATATTAGTACAATTGACAAAAGCACAAGTTGAGCTTCAACATTGGAGATTTTTATCAACATTAATGTCTCTGTATGGTGCACAAACGCGAATGTCAGCATGGGAAAGAACCTTACAAAGTAAAGAGGTCGGTAATATAGTTGGGATTTAAGAAGAGTAAATACATATGCTTTTAAAACATAATGTTTTTAGTCATGGAAGTTGGGTTTTAGTGCAACTTTTTTAAAAGCAAATCAACAGCCTGCATTGTATCAATGGCTAGTTAAACTACGCAGTAGCATACTAGCTAAGTGTTCTCTATATTTTCATACCACCTTGAGTCAGCAAGCAAGTCCAGGGGAAATGAAAACTATTATGAGCAAACAAAATATGGATTATTATCACAAGTAATACATGCTCTTATAATTAATAAATGACATCACTTATTTAAATTATTGTTAAATAAGCACTAATTTGTTTTAATTTTAGAATTCAGAGTTTTCAACGAAAATATGATGTTTTAGCAGTTCTAATAATGTTTGACTCTAGAGGAGTTGATGATTCGGGGTCAGGGTACAGACATCCTTCCAGAGAGCCAAATACTTCTGAACATTTCCCTGTTGTTCTCAGTTGTCCTAGTGTAAGTTTTTAATCTTATATAAATTATTACAACATGTGGATATGGAAGGATGCATATTTTGTAACTAGTATGTGACAACGTTTATGCTATATATATATATATGATATAACGTATA